CGCTCACACTGAGGTCCTATCCATGTCGTCATTTACCCAGAATGCTTTGCGTGTACATGAAATGGCCCTGTCCGTGTAATATATTTTTAAATTTTTAGTTTAAAAATGATAAAAACTGAACATCCTTCAGTATTTTTACACTCTTTATTTTACAGTTAAAATATATGTTTATCAAATAAAGTCTAATGTTACAACAAATCATGAATCCCTTTAATAACGCGTGGCCACAACAATTTTTGCATTACCACACGTTAATTCATGGGCATGAGATAATTAACGCATGGCCACACAATAATTAACACATGGCTATGCAATAATTAATGGATGGCCAGCAATGGGCTAATTTTGAGCAGCCTTGTTGTAAATAGTAAAATAATTTTTCTAAAACTTTTTCAGTTTCTTAATCTTAATACTGGAATTAAAGGACAATAAAAGATTCTCATTTTGTAATTTTATTTAATTTTTTTAACCCATCAGGTGTAATGGTCACCAACATGGTGGGACAGTGGTGGGGTTGGTGCCCAGGCCTAATGGAGAGTGCTTTGAACCGGGTCAGACAGCGAAGAGTGGAGCTACAGCTGACCTCTTTAGTGAGATCAACTTGACAGAGATTCAGAAGCTGAAACAGCAGCTGGTGACGGTGAGTGATATTTTACTGATTACTGATACATCAATTGTTATCACCTGCCTATGTCTGTGTATGCACGTTTGTGTGTTTGGTTAAAAAAAAAATCCATCCATCCATTATCTATAAAACCGCTTCTTCCTTTCAGGGTTACGGTCACTGGTGCCCATATCCAGCAGCTCATTAACCACTGAATTCATTTTACTGAAACTCTTAGGAATAATGTGGCATAGCTTAGAGTCATTTATTCATATCCCCAAGTGCTACTCAAGATCTTTGCTTAAAACAGCAGTATTACCTGTTGGAGTAAATCCCAATTGTCTGTTCAGCAAAATATCTCACAACTGGACAGATTTTTTATGAAACTTTCCAAAAGTAAATATTAGGTGTACATCTACAAATGTTAAACTCTGAGTCATTCCGTTCAAGATGGCCACCACAGCTAAATATTATTCAACAGATAAATAGCTTTAACACATTCAATATGACTCTCAAATACMATCACATCAAATTTTACCTCCATATCAGTAAAACTGATTGAGTTATTCATAGTGATGTTTTGCTACTGGTTAGCAAATAAGCACACAGTAACAGGTAATTATAAAATCATACAGTCTTAGGGACAGTTATTAAAGGTTTGCCTGTGTGAAAAGATGTASAAGCTTAATAGCCTACGCAAAACTGGTTTATGAACAGTTCGTAATGAAGTACAAATTAGTCGACTTTAATATAAATAAAACATAAAACTGCAGCTTAACAGCTTTAAAAAAGTCAACATAAGTTACTTATTTGTGAAACAAGTCTTTCTGAGTGTCATCTTTTTTTCTCAGAGTACAGCCATCAACAATATTAAAACTTATCCAAAACAAACTACAGCAGGCCTGAATCTAAAATACACTATATRGCCAAAAGTATTTGCTCAGCCATCCAAATGACTGTGCACCAGTGCACAAAGCAAGGTCCATAAAYACATGGATGGCAGAGTCTGGTGTGAGTGAACTTGACTGGCCCGACCTCAACCCGATTGAACACCTTTGGGATGAATTAGAGCYGAGACTGAGAGCCAGGCCTTCTGTCCAACATCAGMATGTGACCTCACAAATGCTCTTCTGGAAGAATGYTCAGAAATACCCATAAACACACTCCTACACCTTGTGAACAGCCTTCCAAAAGAGTTGAAGCTGTTCTAGCTGCAAAGAGTGGACCAACGTCATATTGAACCCTATGGATTAGGAATTCAATTCWATTCAAAAATACTTTATTGATCCCAGAGGAAAATTAGATAATGGGTGAATGAATGGGATGTCACTTAAGCTCATATGTGAMTCAAGGCAAGTGAGACAGCACTTTTGACAATATAATGTACATGTCTTCCTGTTTTTCCAGCCAATCTAGATCTTCCTGTTTGGGATATAGAGAAGTTTTTACATTATTGAGAAAACCAGCAACTCACCCACTGGCCTTTGTTGTGCAGCATGAGATTTATTGTTCACTAGGATGTGAGGGCTATGATGCATGATAACTGTACAGCAAAAAAGTTAATAAAACAAATAAAAACTAGAACTCAGAAGCAGTTATGACCGGGGTCCAAGCCCATTTACGCATGGCAACAGCATCCTGTCGACCTCGTGGACCACAGAACTGTAGCAATGATGGGGAATTTTTATTAGCTCTGAGGAACAATTTTGTTGAGCTCCTTCTTCATGGGTGTGCACAAATGTGTCTCCATTTTTGGTTCCAATGCAGTTTTGGATCTACTTCAGGGGTGGTTCCAGGCAGGTCAAGCTGAGTATTGACTTTACAATGGAGAAGGGGCTTTTGTGAACAATGGTCACAAGTAAGGGGCTTTTGTGAACATGGGTCCCATGTAAGGCATAGGCAAGTATAAAAACTGATAAAAAACTTTTTGTCAAGGCCATAAAAAGCTACTCATGCAGCTCCAGAGTAGCAGGTTGTCAACCCCAGTCTTATGGAATAACTCCTTGCAACACTGCATTTTTTTCTTCTGGATTATTTGCCTCTATGGTGACAGTCAGTAGCTTCTGCAAAAATAATTTTAATAGGGTGTTCTGCACCACTTTTAGATCTGTTATCATTTGTGCATGAAGTCTTTTTAAATTGCGTACCACATGCCCACTAATGACGCTAATTATTAGTTTGCCCAGCAATTTAGCACTTGTTATTTGAGATCTTGATAAATCATCCCCCTTAGTGCTGTGGTTTTCGTTGTTCCTGCTGCTGCCCTCTTCAGGTTGAATGTGAGAAAGTAGCTGTGATGACCAGCCTGCAGGAGTCCCAGACTCAGCTGCAACACACACAAGAAGCCTTGATGGAGCAGCATGAGAAGGCCCGCCGACTCAGCCAGAAAGTAACAAATCTCCATCGCCTACACCTTCAGGGGAACCAGGAGTTTCCAGCCGCTMTCATCTCTTCACCTAACTCTGAAACCCTGATGGAGCTGGATAGGGAGGAGGAGACCATAGACAGAGCAGAAAGTGAGACACTGAGTAAAAGTCTTTTTGTACCACATGCCTGGTCTGGAGATCCTGCAGTGTATTGTGTGGCTGTTACAGAGGTGGTGGAACTTAAGGCAGAGATGAAGGCCCTCAGAGAGAAGCTAGCTCAGCCTGATGAGGGAACACCTGAGGAGAAACCAGGCCAAGGCACTGAGCTCCAGAAGGTAGAGAGGCAGGTCATCTTGGAGAAGATCTGTCATGAGAGACAGGAGAAGGTAATGAAGCTGTGGTGTATGTCTACTAAAACAGCAACATTTTAACTAACAAGGGAAAGACTGAATGAATGAATGATTTAAATTTTTTCTTACCTCTTATGGAAGAGTTTCCCTGCCATTAATCAAGAGCATATGTTTCCAGTTTAAGAGTTCATGTCTTTGAGCTCAAAACTTTTAATGCTCACACTCAAAACCTCAGACGTTCACATCTTCACACTCAAAACATTTAATGCCTTTACTCAAAACCTCTCTTCTCTGCTTGCTAAGTATTTTTGCTTTTCACAGATCAGGACATATGGTCTCCTAGGAAGGAAGGAGGTTCTTAAACAGACAGAGGCCAATTTCAAGGCGTTTAGAAACGAAAATGATGCGACGTCAAGTTTATTTTTTATTTAAACATATAAACAATATTTTAATGACAACTAAAGGTGACATAGTTACTTAGAATTTGAATATATGCCTGATAAACACATAATATTGCCCCTTTAACTCAAACATTTAAATTTAACAAAACAGTAGTTTGAAAAGTTAGTTAGCACAACAGGTGGTTTCTCAGGTGGTTTCTCGTCCATCTCAGGTCTCAAAGCTTCCAACTTCATCCAGAAATCCAGCTCAAAAACTGTCCTCTTCCAGTTTGCACTCAGCATTCAGCTGTGTATGTACTAGACATAATAAAAGATATTAGGCCGTCAGAAAAACACAACACGTCCTTTGGGAAGAATATTATGTTTACAGGACAGAGTGGCGTCGTGGTAAAACAGACATGTAGCTGTCACTTTATCATCTGGTCAGGAGAAAGAAAATGAAGAACAATCAGTTACATTTACACTGGTGTTAAAATTAATTAAAGTTCAAAAATCTAATTATGCAAATTATAGTACACACGTGAAATAAAAATACCTTTAAAAAGGAAAATCATGCCACAGAAATGCTAATGATTATGGTAGATAGATAGATAGATAGATAGATAGATAGATAGATAGATAGATAGATAGATAGATAGATAGATAGATAGATAGA